ATACTGCAGAAACAATAAAGCTCTGCTAGACAGCACTGGTAGCGTGCTCAAGGCCAAAGGACCTAGATTTATGGCATCTTTGGGATTTCTCACCACTATATCATCTCATCAGTTTCTAAATCGGTCTGTATCCCTCTCCCAATTTGCTGAAGCCCCAAACTCAGAAGTGCTCGAGGATCTTCAGAGAAAGAAGACTCCTCCCAAAACTCAATTTATAAGACTACAAGTACAAATAAGTCATTCTATATTTCAACTGTTTGAAAACAAATTGTTTAGGCCAAAAGAAAAATTTTATCCAAATATAACATTATAGTCCTGAGTATTTAAATCTATAACTAGTCACAGTTCCTCTGATAAAATTTAACATAAAAAACTATTGATGGTTAGGCTAGGGATATAGCTCAGTTGATAGAATGATTGCCTCGTATGCACAAACTGTTGGGTTCATTCCCCAGAACCACACAAACAAACAAACAACAAAACTATTGATGGTCAGCTGCTTCTGCACCCAAGTTAGTAAACTCAAACCCACAATGACAATAGGGACAGGGTATGGGAAAGGAACTGAATGTGCACCATCTTCTAATAAGGTTAGAACTGTGGGCCACAGTCAGTCTGTACCACCCAATTCACAGCCAGAACACCCCATGGTACTACACGTATTGGAATCATCTTCAAAAATGTATCACTTGCTCCCAGCACTATTCACAATCACCAAAACCTGGAAACAACCCAAATGTCACCAACTGGTGAATGGATAAACGAGTGAAGTACGTCCATACAATGACAACAGAATCTCATTTGGCAATAAGACCACGAAACACTATATAATAGACACTTCAACATGGGTAAGCGAGAGGAGCCAGACGCAAGAGACTAATGTATTGCCTAGTCCTGTGAGGTGACATGTCCAGAAAAGGCAAATCTACAGATGAAGAAGATCAGTGTCTGCCTGGGGCTAATCCTAGGAATGGGAAGTGACTGCAAAAGACATAAGGGATTGTCACAAGGCTACAGAAATATTCTAAATCTGGATTGTGGTGATGGTTGACTGACTCGGCAGATTTACTAAAATCACTCAACTGAACACTCTAAAAGGGTAAATTTATACATTACACCTCAATAGCATCCAAGTGTGTACAACAAAGAAAAAAAGATTGAGCCAGTAAAACTTCATCACTGCTTATCCTAGAGAACATGAGATGTGCCTAAGAATGACCAGAAGATCCTAGCTAGTTCCCACCCTGGAGGAAAGAGGGCAGACAGTTTTATTTTGAAATTATCTGATCCTAATATGAACTTCTACATGAACTCCACAAGTTATGATAGCCCACCAATGATTACTGAACTTCTGCAGACATCAGAGAAACTCAGCTAGGTAAGAAATCCTAATTAAAACACTCAACATAACATATAAGTCACTGGCTTGTGTATTTGATGCAGTTAGTTTTATGACCCATTTGGTTCTTTTTTTTTTTTTCATAACCTATTTGAATCTAGGAAATTCAAAAATAGTGAAAGGCAAGAGCTAATCTTTTTAAGCCAAGTAACAGCTGAAAAGTAAAACAAGTGGATGCCGTGGTCCACCAGAGTGTTACCAAGGTGGATGTAATCCCCAATTCCACAATTCACCAAGTTCAGAGGATGAAAAGAATCACACACAAAAATCAAGCTCCCTGGGCTGGGGATGTGGCTCAGGCGGTAGCGCGCTCGTCTGGCATGCGTGCGGCCCGGGTTCGATCCCCAGCACCACATACCAACAAAGATGTTGTGTCCGCCGAGAACTAAAAAATAAATATTGAAATTTCTTTCTCTCTCTCTCCTCTCTCTCTCTAAAAAAAAAAAAAAATATTTAAAAAAAAAAAATCAAGCTCCCTGAATATAAGAACATTTAGAATACACTGAACAGAAACTGACATTCAGTGGCTTTACAAATATGAAAGGAGTGGTAATGATGTAACAACCTTACAAAGCACTGTAAATGAACAAAGAACACCCTGCTCCTTCCTTCCTCAGTGTGGGAAGACGGAGACCTAGGTAGGCTTTTTTTCTCAAAGAAGGTCTGAGTGCCCCCTGTGTAATAACTACACAGAAAGAATCATTCTAGCTAGCAATTAGAGAAATGCAAATCAAAACTACTCTTAAGGTTTCATCTCCCTCCAGTCAGAATGGAAGCTATTATGAAGACAATAAGAAGTGTTGGTGAGCCTGTGGCTTTGGAAAAAGGTACACTCATAAACTGCTGGTAGGACTGCAAATTGGTACAGCCAATATGGACAGCAGTATGGAGATTTCTTGGAAAATTCGGAATGGAACCACCATTTGACCCAGCTATCCCTCTCCTCAGTCTATACCCAAAGGACTTAAAAACGGCACACTACAGGAACACAGCCATTCAATGTTTATAGCAGCATAATTCACAATAGCTAAACTGTGGAACCAAACTAGATGCCCTTCAGTGGATGAATGGATAAAAAAAAGTGACATATACACAATGGAATATTACTCAGCAATAGAAGAGAATAAAATCATGGTATTTGCAGGTAAATGGATGGAGTTAAGAGAAGATAATGCTGAGTGAAGTTAGCCAGTCCCCAAAACCCAAATGTTGAATGTTTTCTGTGATATAAAGAGGCTGAATTCATAATGGGGTAAGCAGGGGAAACATGGAAGGAATAGACAAACTCTAGATAGGGCAGAGGGGTGGGAAGGGAAGGGAGGGGGCATGGAGTTAGAAATGACGGTGGAATGTGATGGATATTATTATCCAAAGTACAGGTATGAAGACATGAATTGGTGTGAATATACTTTGTATACAACCAGAGATATGAAAAATTGTGCTCTATATGTGTGATAAGAATTATAATGCATTCTGCGGTCATGTATAATTTTTTAAAAATTAGTTTAAAAAAAGAAAGGATCATTCTAGCAAACAGTGTTCCTAATAATTTAACTTTTCACAGAGGAAACTATTGTAATAATATGATCTGATGAAAGTATTTCCACACACACTAAGTTTTTTGGTTATAATGAGATGTTTGTGTTTCTAAGGAAGTTTTCTTGAGGGGAAAAAAAATTACATAAAAATAGTTGTTTCACTAGGGAAAAGGAGTTCCTGCAGCACTGGCTTGGCTCACAGTACCCAAGGTCACCCTTGCCTTTCAGGTCACAGAAGACAACAAAACCCAAAACAGACAAAGCAACTGGCATTCAAACCCATGCCATCATCACAAATCTGCAAACTCATTAACTCGCCTTCTCGCTCTCTCTCCTCCTCTTCAGAACTCAAACTCTATTATGGAGTCATCCATTTCTCATAACGATTTCTACCTACTGTTCACTCCCATTAATAATGAAGCTTTAGCTAACACACACACAAGAAAAGCTTCCTTATCTTCTAATCACCATGTAGCATGACTTTTTTTGTCGTCATTGCATAGGTTAGCAAAACATCTTTCTCTTCACTACTTTTATACCAACTTCTTTCTTAATCATTACTCCACCAAATTTGCCATTCACCAAATTCAATGCTTACTCTCTTGCTGTTATTTTTCCTCCCCCTTGACCTCACGTGGAGTTAATCCTAATCTTCAGTTCATGATGCACTTCCATTAGTATATAAGGCTCTTTTGACTTTTCCTGTATTCCAATTCCATCACATCTTGTACCTTAGGCACCCACAATCCTGAATTTGGTATAGTATCACTGAAAAATCCAGTGTGTGTGTGTGTGTGTGTGTGTGTGTGTGTG